AACGGTACTTTTAATTTATGTGTAGTTTATGGGGACAATGCAAAGGTGGTGGCTTTTATTTAGTTGTAAAATCTATACGTTTTCTTTGGAAAACTTGGCTCCTTGGGCGAAAATAACTTTTTGCTTGGTTACTTTATAATCACGGCTTCCTGAAGAGATAGTTTAGCATATTGCCTTAAATATATATATAAAAATCCACCTTCTATTTTACTGGCACTGCGAACTATTGGATTTGTCTACCGACTGACTTTCTTTTCTGTTCACTAAGGGATGGGGAGGCTTATGGCTACCCTGTTTTTCCTCTCTCTCTCTCTCTCTTTCCCTTTCTGCCCGCTTTTCGTGATTTTAGTCTTTCTTTTCCGTTGCTTTCTTCGCCTGGTTCTTTCTCTCCCCAGCCCCCCACCCCCACCCCCACCCCCGTCTCCTTCCCTTCTTCCCGCCGCCCACTCCGCAGAGAAGGTGAACCACTTTTCCCTGGGCCATCCAGAGGGCCGGCCCTGCTCTGGGAAAGCCCAGGGTGGCGGATAAGCGCTCCTTGCCCGAGATTTGCCGGAACGCTAGCGAGCCAAGGGGCCGGTGAAGTTTGGGGGAATTGCTATTGTTGGCGGCTAGTCCTCCCGGCTGTTTGTGTTTATAAAGACGAGGGCGGTTGCCGGGAAAGGGAGGCAGGTCAGCCCTGTCAAAGCGCTGACCTCGGAAGACCAGAGGGCGCCCAGCTCCTTCACCCACCGCTCCCGGGGCGTGTGGCTGGGCGAGGGGGAAGAGGAAGAGAGCGAGAGAGCGCGCGCGCGCGCCCCCGCGGCTTCTCCCTTCCCCATCCAAGCCAAGAAGCTCAGGTTCAGGGTATTTAAAGCCCGCGGAGACGCCGGGAAGCAGCTTTGCTTTAAGCTGCCGAGGAGAGGGAACGCCAGCCAGCATTGCCTTGCGAAGCTTGGCTTGCTTGGAGGTTGGGATGCGGGTGTTTTGGGATGTGTGTGTGTGTTGGGGTGGGGTGGGGGGTGCGGTTCAAGCAACCGCGACTTGACAACACACGCACACGCATACATGTGTCTCCCTCACCTCCCTCTCCCCCCCCTCCCTCCCTCCCCAGGCTGAGCTGGATCGGGATGCCTGGCCTGGTCGAACCGGACTGGCCACTCTCCAGCCCAGCCCTCGCTTCGTGCCTTGCCCCGAAGTTCCTGGGCCGTAGACCCTGGACGGGGAAACTTCGCGGCAACGTCTCTGTTTTCTTGGAAAAGAAGCACCAAGCTCCGAAGTAAAAGATGGACTAAAGGTTTTACGGAGCGGTTGGACGCTTTTCAGGAAACCACCCTTGGGTCGACCCTCGACGTTTTGCCCCTGGCTCGCCTTCCCTGCTTCCCGGAAGGTCCTGCAAACTGGTCTCGGTGTTGCTGTTGTTGGTGGTGTTTTTTTTAGTTTTTTTTTTTTTTTTAAAAAAAGTGTGGTTTGAAACGAAGTTGCTGAGTTAAACAAAAACCAAAAAAAATATGTTAGTTAACATAACTGCCTTTGTCAAATAGCCCCCGGGAGGAAAAGAGATAACAAAAAGGCAGAGGAAGGAGGGGGGTCTCGGGATCTGAAAGTGTCTGTAGCTTAGATAAAGGGGTCTCTAACACTGAGATCTTGTAATACCTCGTTTCAAACTGAGCTCATCTATAGACTTAGGGGACGCTTTCAAAAGGCACGGATCGTCTTTCCCTTGGGCGAGAGAGGGAAGGGGGTGTGGGGGGGGGGGGAGGCCCGCCATTTATTAGGGAATTATGTCGGGTTATTAAAAAGAGAGGAGACTGTAATTATGTATATCCTCCTCCTGGCCCTGAACGTCCCTAGCACAGGTTTTGGAGATGCAGCACAAAAGTCTTTCGGCTGCCTTGGCACGCTCTTTGTCTGAAAGAATGAGTGGCCAGAGCTGGCTCTTATACCCTTGCTCAAAGTCTGTTTCGCTCAGGGGCGTGGGGGGGGTGGCATCCAAAATCGGACGTCTGTTTTCCCACACATGTGAAATACAACGCCATTAACTTTCCCTTTCTCCCTGCTTGGAAGGCCATGCTACTCCTCCCCACCCCTTGGGAAAATCTACACACACACACACACACACACACACACACACACACACACACAAGTATCAGGGTGGGTTGACCTAAGAGGTTTCCCTTGGAGCTGTGCCGTTGGGACCAGAGAAAAGGAACTAAGAGGTTAGACAGATCAGCTGAGCAAGGAAAAGGGCTTGAAAAGCTGGCCCAGCTTTTAGGGGAATCCTCTCCAAACAGCCAGCTCTCCTACTTCCCAGCCCTCGGGTGCTCCTGGCTGATTTTCCCCTGCCCTGCCCGAAACGCACTTTGCTGTTTTCACGCGCGCATGCACGCAGACACACACAACCTGTGCTGCCTTTCGGAATTAACCTCCTTCGATTTTTTTTTTCCTAGCTACGTGGCAATCTCCGGCTTTCTTCTAAACTGTTAGGATCCCTGAGTGCGTTTTCCAACTCGATCTCTACTAGTTTAGGGAAAGCTGAGGGCTGAAAGTAGATAGGTGAAAAGGAGGTTGAAGAGTGAGGTTGATGCGAAACAAAAACACGGAAAAGGGGGGGGGGCAACTAGGGATGGACTCTCCTGTTTTCATTTTCTATGGGTACCCCTTTAGCTAGAGAGAGTGGGGGGAACCCACCAAAACATTCTTTCAAAGGAGCCACGAGGGCAAGAAAGATATTTGCATCAAATAGGTCTTGCCTGATCAACTAAGTATGGACGTTTCTAAAAACATCTTTTAAAAATAGATGGAATCCTATTAAAAGAATATATACATATATATATTTGCAATATCATGGTCGTCTCCATATACTTCTGCTGTGTAAACTGTTTTAATTTTTTCACTTGAGTTGGAACTAGAAGGATTATCCTGAGAGGCTTCTTCATCAGACTGGATTGTTTTCTGGGTTAGGAAATGGGCTGCTATACTTTAAACGTCCTTAACTGCCTGGTCAGTGAATTCTGCAACCTGACTCTTCCTTCCATTTCAAAAAGAGCCAGAGATCTATTTTCCATAATCCCAGAAATGTCTGAAAATGGGGGGTTGGGAAATGTATTGTTAGCCTCAGTGGTCCCTCTCTGTAAACAAGGAGGAGGCTGTCACTTCCTTCTTTTGAGTCGAGCTTTATGATATGCATACACAATCTGTGGGCATATCATGAGCAGTTTTATTTTATTGAGAAGTAGGTCTAATTCTCAAGCAAGATCAAGTTACCCCCCATAAGGAAAACTCTTAGGATGTTCTGTCATCAAAACTATTTCTTAAGTGCAAAGATTTTTTAAAAAAAACAACCCAGGATATCTTTGCTTTCCCCTCTTATATTTTAAGTTGCCTGTAAGGAACTGGATGTCCAAGTGGGTATATTCCCCATTTTCCAAGACCTCTTTTTGCACCACACCTCCCTATCTTTGGCCTGTGTGATGTCTTTGCTGGCAAGCATGTATTCATATTCAAGTGGAAATTTTCTTTTTAATGTTAGCTTTAGGATTATTTATACTTTATATTTATACTTTATTTTTATGAGGAATAGTGTAAAACCTTTCTGTTGTGTTAAGTCCTTAAGGCCCGAGATAAGAATTTTAAATGCACCCCAGGAACCAGGAATTATAGAGACTCATCAACTGCAAAGTTATTTTCACATTTATAGGATCTTCAAGATTATAAACATAATTTTATATTTAAGTATAAGTTGCCAGTATTTGTGGACTTTTTGTTTCTGTAATATCATTTGGATTGGGGCAGGTGTCCCTATGGTGTGTTTGGATGCACTTTGAATAGGCATGATTTTTAATCTACAGTGAGGAATATTTAAAAGTATCTCAATTTCTGGTTTTAGTTAATTATATTTTAATGAAAGTGTCACTCATATTCACATCACATCTGTAGTATTAGGTGAAGATAATTAGATTTTCAAATGAGAAGCAATCTCCATCCCTTGCAGATTTCGAAGAGATTCTTATTTATAATGGCATCTATGCGCTATCCCCTATATCCCCTTTTTTCATATCTTTCAATATCTAACCCAAGAACAAAAATATTTCTCTTTTTATACTCCTATGTGCTGAGAATAGTTTATGCTTTTTAAAAATTCCGTTTATTGTTGCTATCATACATTAAAAATACTGTTTGTTATTATAAATTTACTTTTGTTGAGCTGTTGGAGCAATTACCCCAGGGAGATTAAACTGCCATAGGTGTATGCAATAATGCCTACATCGTAATATGTATACATTGCTACAGTTATTAGACACAGTACCATTGTATGTACAGTGTGTGTGTGTGTGTAAATAAAACCTCAACAACAAGTAAATTATTCTTTAAGGCTGAAAGAGTAAAAATTTCCGCCTTCGCCTTACTTCCTTTCCATACACAGGCACATTCCACATTCATTATCCAAAGCATATTTTCTTCTCTTTAAAAAAAAAAAAGAGTGGGGGGGGGGAGAGAAGAGAGAGAAAGAAAGAACTTCCCTGGTGGGAGGAATAATTAATTTGCACCCATATCTTTTCACATTCCTGAGCAGTTAAGAAGAGCAAATCTTCTTTCCTTCCTCTCTTCTCTCTCCCTTGCCGCCTCTCTCTCTGTCTCTCTCACTTTCTCTCTCTAATTTCCCCTAGCCATCTATTTGTGTGTGTGTATGTGTGTGCGTGTGTGTGTGTGTGTCTGTGTTACTAATGAAGTTTGCAGACTTGTGTTTGTGTCCGTGAAGCTGCTTTTCCTACTGCCCGTTCTGCTTTGGGGCCAGTGGTGTGGCTCCCGCAGTCCCTGCGAGTCCCCAGCAGCAGCGACAGTAAGTCCGCGCTGCGCGTCATTTGCAGTCTGGAGAATGTTGATCACCTCGCTAATTACACCTCTCTCTCTTCTCTCTTTCTCTCCCCCCGCTCGCTCACTCTCTCTCTCTCTCTCTCTCTCATTCCCAGAGTGCATATCGGGAATAGACACACAAAGACATGCGCACTCAACTTAATCAGCCATTTTTTTAAACAGGGCTAAAACGATAATAATTAGCAGAATAAAGACATATCGGATTTTCATTTCCTTTCCTCCTTTTCCCAACCCCTTCACAACCAAACAGCGAGACCGCGGTCGCCACTTGCTTTAACAACTCCCGGACCCCAAAGGACCGCTCCATGCCCCCACTTCTTGTTCATTTTTATTTTCACCCAATAAAGTTGGAGGATTATTTTTTTTTATTATTATTTTTAATGAACCTTCTGTCGTTTACTTGGATGTGATCAGCTGTTAAGTAAATAAAGCAAAACAAAACAGAGAGGCGAAGATCCAGTAAGAACTGCGAGGGGAAATGGAAAGTAAGTTTTTTCTTTAACTTTTATTGAGTAGTTTGTGTTAAATTTAGGTCGAGTATCGATTATCTTTCCAAGCTGATCTTGCACAATCTTTGATATTTCGCTCTCGCTCTCTGCCTGCCTCTCTCTTTCTCTCTCTCTCTGTCCCTCTCTCTTTCTCTCTCTCTCTCTCTCTCACACACATACACACACACACACACAAATACACTCCTATCCACTGATCCTCTCTATCTCTCCCTTTCTCACCCCCCTTTTTCTATCTCTTTTCTCATTTTTAGTTGCTTCTTTATGGGAGGAGGCTTCCTTCGCTTTTAAATTTCGGGAGGATGGGGTTGGGGGTACCCCTTTCCCCCCTTTCCAAATTGTAACTTTTGGATTAAGTGAAGAATCTTTGGTAGAAGAAAAAAAATTTTTTTTGCATTGTGTGTGTCTTTTTAAAACCGATCTGAGAAACGGGCTGATTTGAGCCACGGCACGGCTGTCAAAAGTCTTTGGTTCCTTCTCTCCCTCTCTTTCTCTCTCTC